AGGCCGTTCCTGACCCCCAGAACCCCCTCTTAAATCCCAGCCCGGCCCTCCCACCCTCTCCGGACTCACGCAGCTGCACTGACACCGGGGCACTGGCCACGCCTACGCCCGCGCTGGTGGCCGCCGCGACCTGGGCCCGGTAGAGGAGACCGGGCATCAGTCCCCGGAGAACCGCCGAGCGCGCCCAGCCTGCCGCCGACCGGTTGAGGTGGAAGCGGCTCTCATTGCTCAGGCACCAGATCTGGAGGCCGAGACCCAGATTTAAAGAGTCAGAAATACATTCTGGTCTCGCGGGGAAACTTGAAGCTCTGAATGGTAGAAGGGACTTAGCCATGAGTAATTCAATATGGAGAGAACACGCTGAAACTTCTCTCCCCCAACCTTATCCCCAGTCCCAAAGCCAGTCCTAGATTCCCTCCTCCCTAATCCTAGCTCCTCGGTCCTCCCTCTCCCTCCACTCCCCATCCCGCCCACCCAGTCCCTTCTCCAAGCCTGCACCTGATATTCCTTGATGACCCCATTTTGCTGGGAGGGGAGCGGAGGTTCCCAGGACACAGTGATACTGCTGTTGCCTTCACCCCCCAAGGCCACTGCCACTCCCTGGGGGGGACCACTGGGGGCTGGGCCAGGGTGGAGCATGGTGAGAAGGACACAGACAGTCATTGCAAGCTGCCCCTCATGGCCCCAGTTCTATCATCTTAGGGAACTGAGAGGCATCCTTCCTTCCCACCTGCTCCTTGCTCTCCCCAAGGCAGATCTTCATCCCCCCTCCCACTCCCTCTTCCCTCTTGTCCATCCATCAGCTCTGTGCCCCACCCCCTTACCCTCCTCAGGAATGCTCCTGGTCACCAAGGGGCTTTCAGTCCCCAGCCCCTCCTGGCCTTGGGCTTGCACCTTGATCTGAATTTGGGTCCCTGGGGGGAGTCCTCTTAGCACAGTACTTTGCTGGCTTGGGGACTGTAGGTCCAGCACTGTCCAGCTTCCCCCATCAGGACTTGCTACCCTCCAAGACACCCGGAAACCTTGCACCAGCTGGATGGGGCCGTCTGCCTGTGGGAGATGAGACAAGGCATACCAGAGGGAGAGGCTGGACACACAAGTCCTCCAGTCCCAGCCCCTCCTCCACTCACCCCATCTTCCCCAGCCTCACCTCCCACTCCCCCATACCCATTCTTGAAGGCCCCTATGTCCCCCTTCATCGTCTCCAACCCTAACTTCATCCCTATGCCACACTCACAGTCCAGGACACCTGCAGGGTCCGGGGCCCAAGGACCATGGGCTCCTGTATTCGCACAGCCACTTCAGCCAGTCCCCGCTGGCCTCTCCATGGATCCTCCACTGGCCTGGATGGGTTGCTGTCTACTGACCAAAGAGCCCACTCAGCAGGGGCCACCAGGAACAGGGAGTCAGGACTGAGAGTGTGTGTCTATGTCCTACCTCTGCCCTGTCCCCCAGGCCACTACTTAATCCTTCGAGCACATCCCAGGGGCAGGAGCAGACTGGTCAGGGGAACGGCTTCCAGAGGTGGGCCAGAGCGTCCAGCTAACAAGAATATTTTTTTTCTGTGTAACTATATATGCGCCCTCTAAAGGCCTTGTTCCTCATCTCTTACGTGAAGATGACCCTTTGAAGTTCCCTCTAGTCCTTATAATGTGCATTATCTGTGGTAAAAGGCTCAGAAATGAGGAGCTACCAAGATGACTGAATCAGTCTCTCTCTCCCCCTCTCTCC